TGCTATTGCTTTTCTTAGCAGAAGCAGAAACTGCACTGAAAGGAGCTGTCAGTTTGGTATCATTTAGGAGCTTGACTCCCCCAACAAACAGAAATGCGTTAGTACTTACATAAAACTGTCAGAGTCACCAGCCCCATCAGCAATGCCAGGCACAGTACGAACAAAATCAGGACAACCGACCACCAAGAGCAGGGTAAAGTGTGATGCCCTGGGAGAAATTCAGCCATGAAATGGAAGTGAGGTACTAATGGAGTGATGAACATATTAGCTTCATTAAATCTTATCAGTCTTCAGGGTATGTTAGCCAAAAAATAATTACTTTCTGTTTTTAAGTTGTATATGTCCTGCTTACAGAATCTCTTTCACAAAGCAAAAGAGGCTCAAAGTAAGAGAGCAAGAGATCATGGAGAATATAGGCAGCCAAAGTCCTTTGGAGTTTGTTCTTTGGACTGAAGGCCATAAATTGTGAAAGCAAGATTTTTCAAAAGCTTGAAAGTTGATTGCTGAAAGTTGAAAGCTGAAAACAAATGTGCATTGGATTTTTTTGGTAATTTGTGTGTTGTTATTTTGAGGGCTATAGTAAATTCTTGTAGCAACTTATGGTAGATTGAGATTTCTACCTAGGATTTTATAGGGAATCTGTTCATATTATGGGTTACCACTTAGATACAGAAATGAGCACTCACCGAGAAGGAGAAAAAGCAACACTATTCACAGTTTGTTGGGATGGCACAAAATAAAAGGCAGATACTAAGGCTGCCAAAATACAGACTTTGTGGAGAGTTGCAACCAACTTGATTTAGTCCAATAAAGGCAGTAAAAAGGGAGCCTGGAGAATAAATTGCTAATCTAGAAAAGGAAAAGGTGCATTTAAAATTGGAGATTGTATTGTTGAAGGAACAGGAACTGAAACTTAATATGCTAAGTGGAAGTAAGAGGAACTGAAACAATGCCGAGAAGTAGTCAGCATCTGTGGTGAAGCAAGCCAAGGCAAATTATGGTGAATGTTGTACAAGACCTCTTACTACAGAAACTCAAGCTGAGGAATTATACCAGCTGAAAGAAGTTTCAACAGCTGACGCTGTCTTGAACTGAGGCCCTGGGAAAAGCTCTCCAAGTACAGACTCGCTAGTGCTAAGTAGAAGGGAATAAAAGCTTCCTTCAATGTACTGGCCATGATACTGCTAATGTAGCCCAACAGGCAGTTTGCAATGAAAGCCTGCTTGCAGTGACAACTCACTGTTGGCTCATATTCAGGCTACCGTACACGATAACTCTCAGGTACTTTTCAGCAGAGCTTTATGCAGCTATCCTGCTCCCAGTCTGCGCCACTGCCTGAGGTAAATACAACCTGGGCGCAGACTTCGTGTTTCTCCTTGTGCAATTTCATGGGATTTCTGCTCTCTCAGTCCTCAAGTTTCTCCAGGTTGCTCTGTATTGAAACTCTGCCATTTGCTAGTCTCAGTCATTACCCCCAGTTTATCATCATCTGTAAATTAGCTGAAGACACACTTGGTGTCATCATTCAGCTCATTGATGAAGATATTGAACAATGATGTTAGCCACAGTATTAAACCCTGGGGTGCTCTGCTCATTACTATCTGCCAAACAGATGTGGAGCCACTGGCTACTCCTCTTTGAGCCTGCTAGCTCAGCCAGTTTTCAACCCATCTAACAGTCCACCATCCAGCCCGTACAGCTGCAGCTTTAAAATGACAGTGCTGTGAAAGACATTGACAAAAGCTATTCTAGAGATATATTACATCTACCACTCTTCTTTCACATGCATCTCATCACAGAATGCAATCCCATTCTAGAGAAGTGCTCTAATGAGTTGGTATTGCACAAAACCAGATATTAGATCTACAAGATATGTGATATTTCTGTACAGGAGAACCATGTACTTCATAGATCCTAACAAGACTTAAGGACATTTTAACTACTGAATGCTTGGATTTTTCAAGGTCAAGATGCCTCTGTACATGTGATGAAGCTGAATTTCAGGCATCTGGAAAACTTAAGCAGTAGAAATTTGGCTCCATGAGGCAAAACTCCTTAATTTTGGCACGTCTTGGATTAGATAGCAGGACTTGTGATTTTGGTCTTGGGCACTTGAATCCTACTAGCATTTGTAAGTGTTTACACTTTGGTTCTGTCCCCTAAACCACATAAAAGAAACAAAGGCTGAAACCAGCATGAAGCTGCTAGAGATCAGTTTTCTTAATTCTGCTTTTCACTTTGTAAGGAAATTCTTTGTCATGAAAAGTTTTGTAAGGGCTTACAAGCTTCCAGACACAAGCTTGGCACTATGGAGACAGACAGTATACGGTTCTGAGAAGAGACACCAGCCTCCACAGGATGCAAAGTTTTCACATTGCTTACTAAATAGCATAGTTTATCTATGCCTGGTTTTCTACTCTGGCTGAATTTCTCAATTTTCCCTTGGTTCTCCCTGGCATTACTGCGTCTCTGACAAGGTTAAGTAGCATATCAAGCCCTCTCTTCATCCTATGATCAGAGAATTCCCAGGTGAAATGCCAACCCTAGGAAAGACTGGCTGAGGAATTAGATACAACCAGAGTGCTCCTGCAGCCACTGATCATGAAATAGCCCAATGATAATTGCTGCAATGAGGTATAAAATATAGGCTGCTAAATTAAAATAACGGAGAGACCATTTCCAGTTGGTTACAGGATCAAATAAAACCTGGTTTAAAAATCCTTTCCTTCTCAGCTACACTGAACAGAACGTATTTTGTATTAGTTTCCTGTTCACTCTCTGCTACCAACACACCTGATATTTCAACCACTTTGGGCATAATCTCCCAAATATCTGGATGTGTAACAGCTGAACATTTGGAGATACCATTCAGATAATCACTGCACATGCTCAGAGTAACTCTGGAGCACACAGCCAGTGCCTCCAGCACATATGCAGCATGTTAGTCACCCCATATGGTGACTCTGAACATACATAATAGTTCCCTGGGGCAGGATGGGTTCCTACTATTTTCAGAAGATGAAAGCTGTGCATAAGGGGGAGAGGGGAAAGGCTTTCATTTATTATGATTTATCCTCCAGCATATTTTAGTATAAATCTGAAGTAATCCACTGAATTAAGTTGGACTAGATTTAAGAAAATTGAAAACATAATCAACCAAGCTCCTAAAAGAAGGCACAATACTGTTGATGAAAATTTTCTCCTCTGAGAATTCTAAGAATATGGAATTTCATTTCTAGTCTCATCAGTATAAATGTATATAAAACATGTTATTCCCCTACATAGAGACAATGTTAATCAACTCAATGTACTCACTACGTTAAGAAAGCGTAGGGGACTTAGTAGTGGCATGCTTTTCAGGTCATGTGGCTATTATTTTTCTCTCCTGAGATGTTAGCACAGGTCAATCAGAAATAACATTCTCTCCCCTCTTTTATTTCATTTATCTTATCTTATTTCATTTCGTTATTTGATTTTTTTTTCACTTTGGATTCTTGGAACTTTATAAAACTTCAATGGAAGAGATTCTTTCCTATATTGCATTTTTGCAAAAATGTTATCACTCTGTAAGGTAGTTCTTATAACATTTACCCTTGCTATTAGAAGAATTTTCTTTTAACAATGATTACTTTTTCTCTTTTGAGGGATGAAACTAATTGCAAAACTGGGATTAATCCAGTTTTAGCAAGAAAAAAGAAGAGAGGGAAAAGATATCTTTTTTCAAAAGAATGACATTTTGACTGGCATATTAATGTTTTCAAAACAAAGCGTTCTGACTTTACTTTTTAAAAAGTAAATATCTTTCTTTTGTTTAGTAACCTCCCCAAGCCTTCAAAAATACAGACAGGTTCTCAAAGTTTTAATAACTTAAAAATAAATGCGTTTGAGTTGAACAAAAGTTCCTAATATTGACCCAAAACCTTGGAAATTTCATTTGGAAATTTTAAAATATTCATTTTATTCATCCAGATCCTAGCTTGTTTTGTTACTTTTTCATTTCATTGCTGAATGATCTTTGCTTGGTTCTGCACTGAGAAGCTGATAGAAAGGGACGGTAGGAAGTCTCTAATACAAATAAAGCAGCTAGTTAAAGTCATTAGAAGCTGGAATGAGTCAGTTTCACTTGCATTGCTTTTGTTAGAATCAAACCTGAAGTTGGCCTAATACACCCATGGTCAAAACTGTGGGTAACTTAAAGGCAGTGGTAAGCCGCTTCTTGTACAGCCTGG